TGTCTATAACAGCCATTCTCATTTGAACTACCATACCAAACATGAATTCTTGGCCAGATTTATAGTACCATGAATGAGTTTTTCTGGTGGAATAGACCTTAAATACCATCAGAAAGTGATTGTACTATCCTTTGTAACATTCATGTTACTATTATACTTGTGGGCATATTTTGCACATTAAATAGCATGCAATCCAGAGTATAGAAAAAACAATGAGTTTCCTTTCTCCTTCAAGAATCATCTATTAGAATTCACTTTGAATAGCATTCCAAAATTATGATCCTTTACTTATTTAGGAAAGTATCTTTAAATATGTTATTCTATGTGGCCTTCATGGTTTCGTGACCTGAAAATGAAAATAATACCTACACAACAGTTTGCTGAATATCCAACGAGCTAGTTTAGGTCATGTTGTAAGCATATAAGACAATGTCAGTAACTCATATTCCTCCTCTGTATCCACAGCCTCTAGATCAACCATTCTCTACAGAACTACATTGTGCTGAAGGGCAAAAATTGCTTCTAAGGAATGAGGAAAATGTCATAAATACCTGTAATGCATAAATACACATATATCATGTCTGTGGTATGTGGTATTAGAACTTCATGGACTTTAGAGTAATTGGAAAATAGAAGTCTAGGGAGAATTGTGGGAAGAGAGTGGACAAAAGATTAATAAACATTACTCATTCCATCAATGCAAAATGTACCCATAAGAGCACTACTAGAATTCGCATACTTCTGAACAGCCAAAAACCAGTGACTCACTGATTGGCCGTTAAAGTCTTTCTCTTTCCTTTTTTTCTTTTTCTTCCTTTACTTTTGGTGGCAGTGGGCAGTGAGTCCAACATGTTGAATGTACTAGACAAGTGTCCTGCCACTGAGTTATATTCCTGTCTCCTTAATGTCTTTCTTTTAACTCGGAAGCTGAATTTTGTTTTATCTCCAGTGAAAGCACCTCTTTCTTATGTTTCTCTTCTTTTCCCCACATTGTTTTGGCATTGTTTTGACCCAACCATGTTATCTCAAGCTTGAAGAAAAGTCAAAAGGTTAACAATTGCATTTGAATTGGAATTCCAGAGAGTGCTCTTTGGCATGGTTCATAACATTAGCATTCTTTTTAATTTTCTAGTTAAGCCCTCTGTCAATTAAAATATGGTTTTACACTGGGGTGCATCTCTTGGCACACTGTGCTCATCATGCATCAGAAGATATCAAAATAGTGTAGCCCATGTTTGTGATTTTCAAACTACCTTGGGCACAATATTGAATCATGGCATCTCGAGGGAAGAAAACATTTGAAGGTAGAATTGCTGTTCTTTGTTGTTCTTAATAACATGCTGTATCTATAACATGGGGAGAAATACAGAAGTTGACTTTGAATTAAATAAATTCACGTGTAGTTTACTATTTAAATTCAGTAGACAATACCCCATGGTCCTGGTGCTATATGATAATGAATTATTTTTCCACTAGAAAATGTGGATTACAAAACCGCATCAGAATTACACATAGTAGTTATAGAAACATCTGTATAATGAAATGGCAAAGGACAGCCTGGTGTCATATAAAAACTATTTGCCAATAAATCTGCTTCTGATGGGCTACTAAAAATGGACACATCAGGCATAAAATATGTGTGTCTGTATTACACCAGCCAGCTTTGCAAAGGATGACAGGCTTCCACTGGTGCACTGAGATAAGAAACAGCTGTTGTTGGCATCAGCAGTACTGCAAGAAATGAAATGATAATTCTGGGGAGGGGGTACACATATAAGAGTTACCCCATATTTGATTGAGGTTTGAATAGATGTGAGGCCAGAATAATCTTGTAGCTCTGAATGAAACTGCCAACATCCCTTTAGCATTCTCTTCAGAGGAATGCCAAATCCAGCCCTATAAAAACATCATTCAGCTGTATTATTTCTACAGCAAGCACTTCAGTTCAGAGGACATGTTTCTAGTGGTGATGGAGCAGAGAAGGAATGGGAAGAGTCTGTTGACTTTTATTATTTTTAATTGCATAAAAAGTATTTTAGGGATTCAAACTACAACTGAAAAGTAGTTGCTTGGGTGAATTTATAAACTATGAGTGAAAGGAGAAACATTCTTTATGGAAGAAAAGTGCACTGAATCTTACCATGAGACCTATTTGATTGGTCCACATGAAAACAAAATACATTGCTTAAGTTTTAAGGAGAAACAATTAACACTGAAGAAGTGTAAGTAGAAAATAGTAAGAAGTTCTTACTGGGGCTAATGAGATGGATTAATATTTAAGAGTACAGATCTGAGTTCAATTTCTACTTCCCACATGTTAGCTTAACAACTGTCTGTAACTCCAGTTGCAGGGACAGTGCATCTCTAGCATTCACTGACATCAATCATACACATGGTGCAGACCTGTGTGCAAGCAAACCACCCAGCCACATACAATTTTTAAAAGTATTTTAATGTTCTTATTTAACTGGAACATAGATTTCTTATTTCTTTAAAAAAAACTTTTCCAATTATTTAATAAGCATATTTTAATAATTTCTCTGACATACATGATTTGTTTTCATCTTAATGTTAAACAATGCAAAGTGAATTACAGACATTTTAGGTAGATTTGGCTGTTAGCTCTGTTGCATACCATGGATTCTTCTGCAGATTATGCAGCTGGTAGATCCTTCTTCCTTTTGGCTTTTTTTGATACCATGTCATCTTAGTCTTCTTATGTAGCCCACGCTAGCCTCCATCTTCACCTCTTTGAGTGCAGCAATTCAATTATCCAAGCTGCATAGCATATACAACCATCTCCAGCACACTTTCCCATAATAGATGCCTAAGAATAGTCTAAAAAAACAAACTTATCTTTCTGTGACAGGAAGACACACCTTGTCCTCAGAATCAGAAAGAATTTCCAATACATTAGAATGATAAATAGGAAAAACAAGGAGAGAAATCATTGCCTTTGTCCTTGGAGACCTTTAAGGAATCGTCTTTCTTTTGTCAGTGTAGCCATTCAGTTGTCTCACAGCCAGCAAGGTACAGCCACCAAATGCTCTCTGGAGTTCAGGTGTTCCTTATATACACATGGTACAATTTTCAAGAAGAGTCTTCACTTAGCAGCCAGGAGGTGAGATCACTACTTCTCCATTATGCTTTCTACCAGAGCAGGCTTGGATTGGTAGAATCTCATAACATCACATTTGATCGGGTAGGGTGGGGAATCTGTTCCATGTTTTTGAATCAGATATTATTTACAGTGTGAACCAATCAGGGTTAAAGAGCTGTATCCTAGAGACGAAAAAAGAGGGGATGGGGCAAGAAGAGAGTTGGTAGAGACTGGCAAAGGCAGGGTAGAAAGGCAAGAAGGAAAGGCAAGGTGAAGAAAAAAGAATATACAAAGGACAGAGAAAAAATGGAAGACTGGGAGTACTTCAAAGCAGCAGCGAAATGTCTTTTTTTTTTCTCTCTCTCTATTGTGGATTTCTATCTGCCAAAAGGATGAAAGCATAATTACCTGCTAAATACAAATCCATTTCTTATAACATTTAAATGACACATCTCCAAGGGACAAAGCCTGGTTAAAGGTTGGGTAATGCAATCCCTCTATTACTCTATATAAAACAAAGAAGCTGGAGTTTCATTACCCTTAAATTGTCTGACATGGGGGAAGTTAACTTTTATTAGAAGCTGTTCTTTCATATTCTACAGTGTAGTCAAGGATATATTAGCTTTGACGTTTTCTTACATCTCAATACACTATGAAGTGAATTTACTGTGAGACTAATTTAGAAGGGAAATTTTCAGTGAAGGAAATAATAGCATCAGCTGTGCTTCCAATTATTAGTGGGATGAAGATTCAGAAAAAAAAAACACGCACACATAGAATTGGTAGATGTGAATAAGAATGCTTCTTATATTTCTAATTCAGATGGTGCTTCATGTTCTGTTTTTTTTTCTCCTGTACTGAATATTGAACCCAGAATATATATTTTTTGAAATTCCCATGTCTTAAAAGTTTATTCAGGAGGAAGTTTGCACAGAATTTTTTATCTTCAGGAAAGAAAAAGATCAGACATAAACAGTACAAAAACGATGCTTTTAGTGGATCAGCTTCAGTAAAGGGGGGAACCCCACAATTCAAGCATCATAAAAAACAGTTGGAAAGCTGGTAATGATATCACATACCTGTAACCCTAGCTACTTAGGGAGCTAAAGAAGGGGAAATGATAAGTTCAAGGTCAGTCTAAGACACAGAGAGAGGCCTCACCTTAAATTTAGAAAAAAATAGACAATTTAAAGATAATTGGTTTGACTTATGTATAATAAAGTCATTAAATGAATTCCAAATGCAGACAGTATACATATATATGACCTCACAGATTGTTCATAAAATTCTATTATCCTTTGTTGTCATTGGGGGTCATTCTATCACCTTTGGTTTTCTCTTCCACTAATATGGTGAACAACTGCCATTTAACATTAAGCATTTTACATTAAGCATGTAATTGGTAAATGAATCTGGATCTTCTTTAACCAAATAAAAATAAGTATACCAGATTGATAAGCATAGCATCTTGATTTCAATGATGTAGAATTCAAATATAATATATCATAAGAGGATATTTCACTTGATAAATGTATAAAATTCAATCAAATAATAAAATATTGAAAATCAACAACAGGAATTAATATGAGGCAAGTACTCGAAGAAGTAAAGCTCTCAATTTGCTCATCCTTTCGTAATTCTTGTATAGGTTTAGCAATAGAAAGATCCCCCAGCCCTTTGCATTTATCTTTGTGCATGGCTGAGTTCAATTTCACTTAGATTAGGCCAGAAATTTCAGAGCATTGGGTTAATCCATCCTTTCTTTATGGGCAATTGAACAAACAGACCAGTATCAGTGTAAAATTGTAATTCTGGAGATTAATATTGTCTTTCCTGTTTGTCATAAATTTGACCTCCTTACCTTACCTTTCTTTTCTTTCTTTCTTTTTTCTTTTTACAGCTTCAGTCCAGGGTCCCTGGGAGAGAGCCATCTCACCAAACAAAGTGCCCTACTATATCAAGTAAGTCAAAAGAATTTGTGGTACCTGATCTGTGTATGTTCATGAATGAGTTTCTTTTTAACAGTCATTACCCTCATCTGCAATATCTATTTTGTTTTACTCCTAAGGAAACACAGATAATAAATTCATGCTAAAATTAGTTCTGTAAATTTTCGATGTAATATGGAATCACTTTTATGCACAATACATTTAATGCAGCATATATGGTGTGTTTCGGATGGTGAGCAGAGGTTTTACAGTAGAGCAAAAATATCCAGGTAATATCATTGATAGTAGGAGTGAATATTTGACAGGAAAATAATTATTTATGTAGGTGGTTTCTGCATTTCTTCTTCCTCAGAGGTGAAATATCTATCAAGTAATACTTTCACAAACTGTTTAAATGAATTAAGTGTCATATAACCCGTAGACAGGCAGTCCAGAATTTGTGAAGCTGAGGTGCTCATTCTCAACATGTAGCACTTAAATTTAGTTACGGTATAATAGCATCAGAATGGAACTCTTTTTTTCTGAAACAGTTTGTGACATTCAAAGGAATAGAGTAAAAGTATATATGTTGTATGAAACATAAATTTTGATATATTAACTTGACAAGGAGGAGAAAGGATATTGAGTTGTTATGATGCTTTAACAATCTCTCATCAATCATGCAAGTATCTAATTTAAGTCTAACTTTGAATTGGCTCCCCCAACAACAATTAGAAGGAATGGAATTTATGAAATAGTCTTCAGTAGCAACTAACATCGTTGAACTTTCTTTGGCACGAATTTGAATACAAATATGAAATGTTTTCCCAGTTATTCAGCCTGCCATCTTTCATCGAGTCTGTTTTTATTCTTCTGCTATCAATCAATTCTTGATAATTCAGTTCCAAAGCAATAACTGCAGTCCTAGATCTTCATTACTTCAGTTCTCAAGAAAGGTGATTTCTTTCCTCTATTTTGTTAACTCAAAAGAAAAAAAGATGAGGATGAAGGGACTTTAGAGACTCTCTAAAGCAAGACTTGTTCTTCGAGAACATTGTTTAACTTTTATTTTATTAAATTTTTCCCAAATGAGATATCTTTGAACTTAAAAAACCTCCTTTTACATGTTATAATCCTACTTTTAAGTTTTCCTAATTTTCAAAACACTTCATTACTTTTACATTGAATTCTTTCATTTCATGACTCAAAATTACATATTTTAAATGCCAATTTAAGGTACATATTTTACTCAGCAATATGTAGATTTAAACATGCATGTGTATTTTATGGAATCCTTCCTTTAAACTCATTGTAGTGGTTTCCTATATCAATGTCTTTGTCAGTGCAGATTTCATTTCAGATTAAGATATTGAAGACTTAGCACTTCCAATAAAGCTCTCAGTTGTATCCATTTCCATTATGATTTGCAACAAAAGTTTCTTTTTCTACCTTTGTGTATGAACCATCTGAAAATCATTATTATACAATGATTCTCTGAATAATTGTGTAGGGTTCATTAACAGTCTCACACAGATTTCTACCATCCTTTCCTTGTGCTTCTTGACTGATCTGGTTCTCAACCTGTGGATTGTGACCCCCTTAAGGGTCATGTGACCCTTTCACAGGGGTCACATATCAGATATTCTAAATACCAGATATTTACATTACAATTCATAGCAGGAACAAAAATATGAAATTATGGATTTAGGATTTTCCACAGCATGAGGAATTGTATTAAAGGGTCTTAGCATTAGAAAGGTTGAAAACCACTACTCTAGTGTTGAATTAATAAAAGAGATCCCGGTAGTTTGCTATATGGTAGTAGAAATTAATTGAGCCATCCACAATTTAGATAATTTTAAGATGATGTAATTCCCCTACTTCACAGTGATTTGGTCTCTGCTGTTTCTCAGTGAAAGTAGAGAGCAATTCCATATCCTATTTACCCAACACTTGTTTACACACTGAAGGATGACTGTGATGAAAACACAAATTCTAGCCCTGCCTCTGATATTACTTAGATATGTGATCATCGATAGATCACTAACTTATACAAACCTTAACTTCTCATTTATAAAATACAGTGCTAATTTAAATAATATCTAAGACCCTTTTCAGTTATCAGAATCAATGAGTTGAGTCATTTGATGGGCATGTTAAACTCAGAATACTAAAATCTGAACTTATTTTTTTAAATGTAATTTTTAGTTTTAAATTCAATACTTTTAAGTATACGGTTCAGTGGACTTTTTGTGCTGACTTTAAGGCATTCATTCTCAAGATGTTAAGACATTGACAATATTTTTGTCATGGATTGGAAAGCTGGCAGTGTTTATGTATGTCTTGACATCAGCTTTTCATATGATGCTATGAAGCTCCGTTTTCATACTTCACTCTACATATTTGTCTAGTTTATCATTGATAGCAAACATCACTGTTTGAATTTTCATATTCCCTTTCCCTTGAGGCTCTCATTTCTGCCAGCACCTCTATCAGTTTATTTGATCACAGCTTTCGTTGCCACTAAAAAATAGTCACCAACATTGTTCAACCTGTTACAACTGTTTTTTCTACTCTCTGCCATTTTGTACTTGTTTGGCTTACTGTCAAACTCATGAAATTTTCAGTATAATAGCCTTTAACCAGCTGCTGTGTTCTGTTAGGGTTTCTTTCACCTTTTTTATGTTTCATACTCCCATATGGGTAAACCAAACAGAGCCAAGAACTAGGACTCTCGTGCTTACTTAATGAGGTAGAAAATTATTCTTCTGTGTTCTGGAGTGGCAGAAGAATTTAGGAGTCCCAAAGTTTCATGCAGGATGTTCCAACATAGATGCCATAATAAAAGCATAAGAAATATTGCACTGAATCATACTAACAGGGCAACTAGCCCAGGGCTCTATCCCATATACAGGCATGAGTGGTATTTTCTCTTTGTCTGCTTATTAGTTAACCTAATTTTCATCTTAAAAATTAGGGTGGGTCATTTCCAGTTGCTATGTATTAAAAAATGACTAGCAGTGAAGTTTATCCAAAGCTATGTAATACTTTTACCACATGTTGCTTCAGTCTTGTCTTAGAAATAACTCCCATGAGTATACTGAATTCTATATAAATCAATGATGTTTCACTTTCTTTTAAGTCTACATCCCTTGACCTCAACAATTGGCTCTCATTAAATGGTTTTGAAATCAATGAAGACATTTATATTTACCCACTACGGATTTTAATCTCACATCCTCTGACTAATGCTTTTTCTTTCCATCTTCATGCTTTGAGAAATACTAATCCTTTTTAGTCCTTTAGTCTGTCCTTGAATGAAAGATAAGCTTTCCACTTGATCGTCTTGGCTGTTTTCCTCTGGACCTTTTCCAGCTCTGTAATATTTTCCCTGGGATAGCATGAGTAGAACAGCCCAGATATTGGTTATTAAATTTGTTAGCACCGTCTCTAGTCTCCACTCACTCATGAAGAATGTAAATGCTATTTACTGTCTCCCATTGGTACAGAAACGGAGCAACCAATTGAGGTCATAACCTGTTCTACATGGATTAGTTCTAGCTGAGGGCTGATTTTCTGCTACTTTTCCATATTACCAGATGAACTGCTTCACCTTAAATTTCTGCCAGCTGTCCCTTAGGAAAGATTGGCTTTTTAGAGAAGCTGGTCATTTTCCTCCTTAAAAGACACCGTGGTTGCTAAATATTGGGATGAATCTACTAATAAAACCCAATAGCAAACCTGCTGACTCCATCAGCAATAATACATTGCACCAGGTTATTTTCTAAATATTTCTGAGGTAGTTCATGAGGGAATGACAATTGGGGTTTTGGGGAAACTAAATGTCCAACGTTTTTTTAAAGCATATAATGCACACAAAGTTCAAATTACTTTTGATCTCTTCCTATTGACAAGTCTGTGTGTGTGTGTCTGTGTATCAGTGTGTGTGTGTCTGTGTGTGCATGCACATATGTGTGACCATGATCTAGTCTTTTCCAACTCGCAATTCCAGGCATGTTTCTATAGTCATTTATCATATCTAAGTTGCTCAAAGCTTTCTAATTGGCTCTTGCTTAGCAAAAATAAAAATTCCCTGACTAAAGTCAAAATTTATTTTATTCAACATCTCTCATTAGCACTGCTATGCCTGATACAATTACTGCTTTGAGTTCTGACTCTCCAGTCTTCTATGGCCTGTTATTACCATAGCTCCAGACATGTGTGCATTTAATTTTCTGTATGGAATTGTGGCCATCTACCTAGACGTATCTCTTGGTGGTGGTGTTCTTCTGTATCTTGTCCATTCCAGTGTACATTCCAGTTTTAGTTCATAGACTGCACTCTGATGTCAGTATTGACACTCCTTAACTGCAGTAGCCTGTGAGACATGACAATGCCTTTCCCTTATACTGTAGCACTTTGGTTCCTAATTCCAACACTAATTTTCAGGTTTGAAATGCCCCCGTGGTTAAAATATACTTACTTCTCTGCCATCCATGCTCCTGTTCTTAGTCGTACCAGGAGTCCCTCTAACTTGAGTTTTGCATTGTTTCCCTCTCTGAATTACTGATTTCAATTTCAGTATGAGAATCTATACACAGAGGAAGCAGTGGTTAGCTGTCTCTGAGCTTTGTCATGTGAAATATCTCCATATTGATTGGTTTACAGTGAGTATATCAGCTGAAAAAGAGTTGATCAACTGATGCCTAGATAAGATGTCAGTGTTCTTGTTATACTGACTTGGAAGATGTTCCTCTATTTCTCACTCTTAGCTTGCTATCCTAAGAACTATAACTAGTATTCTGACCTTTCATTTTTATATTAGCTGAATCCTGGCAAAGCTAGTTATAGAATATGGACACATTGAGCAGTGCACAGTTTTGTGCTGTTTCTAGTAAAATCATCCTTTTGTGTATATTTTCCTTCAAAACAACTTTTAGCAACTGACATTATGTAGTGGGAAAGTTAAGAAAAGTTGCACCAAGGGACTTAAAATCTCATTCCCCTCTCTATAAAAACTAGCTCTTTGAGTA